CCTGGAGTACTGCGTCCAGCTCTGGAGCCCTCAGCATGAGAAAGACTTGGACCTGTTGGAGCGGGTCCAGAGGAGGGCCAAGAAAACGATCAGGGGGATGGAACACCTCTGCTGTGAAGAAAGGCTGAGAGAGTTGGGGTTGTTCAGCCTGGAGAAGAGAAGGCTTCGGGGAGATCTCATTGCAGCCTTTCAGTACTTCAAGGGGGCTTCTAAAAAAGATGGCAGCAAACTTTTGAGCAGGGCCTGTTGCGACAGGACAAGGGGGAATGGCTTTAAACTAAAGGGGGATAGATTTGGACTAGATAGAAGGAAGAAATGTTTTACACCGAGGGTGGTGAAGCACTGGCCCACGTTGCCCAGAGAGGTGGTGGATGCCCCATCCCTGGAAACATTCCAGGTCAGGTTGGACGGGGCTCTGAGCAACCTGATCTAGTTGAAGATGTCCCTGCCCATGGCAGGGGGGTTGGACTAGGTGACCCTTAGAGGTCCCTTCCAACCCAAACTATTCTGTGATTCTATGATTTCCCTGGACTGTCAAGTATAAAAGGAATGGGGAAAAAAAAAGCTGGACACAGATGTCTGAGGATCACAATATAGAGCCATAGTTGTAGTACTGAAAGCAGTACGTTCATGTTGACACAGGGCTCAGATAACCTGAGTCTCAGCAGGCCCTAGCCCTAGTGAGCACATAGTATCTGGTCTTTTATGTTAAATATTTGCTCAGATATCTCTGCACAAGAGTGCATTCTGCTGCACAGAAAACATGCTTCACACCAACCAGAAAAATATAAATAACTTCAATCACTCAAAAACGAGTCATCTTTTGTGATTTAGTAGATGTTGTATATGACTATCTGTTCACATGGCAAAGGAAGGCTGCCTCCTCTCTGAGGATATTCATACTTTCATTTTTAACATATCTGAATACAAAAGGGCATTTTAAATCTTCAGAATTTAGTCAGCCAACACGACGCAGTCTTTTAGAATGGCTTAACTTGCACCAGGGAAGAGGCTAAGGACATTGTGGAGGTTGTGGCCAAAATATCATCCCTTAAAACCATAGGAGAGAACCAGCACAGTCTTAACTGCAACGGTTTTAACCTTTGATATGTCAGCACAGAAAAGCAAATCTGTAAGAATCAACCATTTATAATCTCCCAGTTCTTTCTAAACACTTACCTCAAACTGTCCATTCTCATCTAGCTCCTCAACTCTGGTCAAATTAGGCGCTCCAGGTCTATCTGTAAGTTCAGCTATCGTCTTTTCTTCATTTTCCTATGGTAATGAACACCAGTTTTCAGTTAAAACTATTCCATGTCATGAATAATTATCTACAGAGAATATTTCAGATGTGTTAAAATGACATTATGTATTAATATAAAGATAATACTTTAGATGTGTGCTATACAAATGCGTTAGTATGCGAATATGGTCTCTGTATGCTTGCTAAGACTATTTTTATAATTTTTTTTTTAAATAACAGGAATTTTGGTTTAAATTTCTACATATTCATTTTTCCTGTCACTTTCATACTGTCATCTTTCTACAATTATGTTCTGTCAGTATTTTAACTCTCTGAAAACATACATATCTCTAAAATATGACGTGCTCCACATATATTTAAGATATTCACATTTAAAAGCTTTATTGAGATAAACATGCCAATTATCAGTGTATGTTTTTACTGAAATAGCATTAAAAGACCATACATTCATACGGACATCTGTATATGAATTATTCTGTTAGTATACATTCCTGCGCACCAGGAGGATTTCAGAATCAAGAGACATCCCAATTCCAAACCACAGTTCCTTTTCCAGGTACAGCAAATGGACTTTGCACTGACACACAGTAGAAGATTAGTGTCTAGACACTGAAATTAGACATGCTTAAGTTATAATACTTTCTCATAAATATCATCAAGGAATGTGAAAGCATCGACTAAGCTGACCTTACGCTAAATTTTGCAATAAATTTACACTCTGTTCTGAATATAAACTAAATAAACCTAATAGAACAGACCAAAATTCAAGTATAAAACCCAGACTGGAAGCAAGGTGTTAGACATTCTTCCCTCATTTTCACATTTTTTTTTTTTTAAATTACGTGTTAGTTCAACACCCATGGGCTTCTGCCTTGTGTTTTGTATTTAGTGCCTGCATCTGGAAAAGACAGTTGATTAACAGTATTTTCAAACCACTAAGCTTTGGCTTAAACCTCTTGATCTTTCTGCTGCAACGACATTTCGTCATCTTCATCCTGCAGTTCCAGCTCCTCACGTTCTTGTTCCAACTGACCCTGTAGTCGGTTTAAGAAAGGACAAATTAAATGGAAAAAAAACACATTCATCTTTCCCACCCCATTGCTTAGAATGTATTTCATGACTGAAATCTTAAATAAAATTAAAAAAACGAAGCATAAAACATAACTGCAATGTTAATAACATAAAGCCCTCTCAGTATCATCTGGCTCAACATTTTCATAGGTTTTAGACTCGCATGGATAGAAAGGCTTTACTACCAAAAGGAAGAAGAAATAGACAACCGAAGTTAGCATACACACTTAAGATACTGTCTCATTCCTCATGCTCTTTACCAGTCTATATTCATTATCTCCTATACTTTGGATTAAGCTCTTTGATACTTCCTATAGTATTTAGCACAGACTATACTTCCTATAGTATTTATGCACACACATAAAATCAAATCTATAGAAAAGACTGGTAAGCAATCCCATTAACATTAATCATCATCATCAACCTTTAAAATTTCCAATTGGAAATATCTAATACAAAGTGTTTATTTTTTGTGACCCTAAGTCCTATTGCATCAAAACTTCAGAAACCGCATAATCTAAGCGTTCACGTTCAACAACGCTAGGGCCGAGAGAACACTGTTTGCTGTAGCATTTTGTGAGCAGTTATTACAAACATTGCCATATTGTAGTAACTAGTTTTCACATTCCTTTTTGGTACATATATTCAAAACATGCCTGAGTATGTGACTATAGCCAAAATTATGAGTTAGGTTAAAAATGTGTCTAATGCGAGTATTGTTCAACATCTTTCCCTTAGTTTACATGAAATAATTCATTTAATTCTCTGTGAGTTATCTCTAGACACAATCTCATATTCTTGACTCCATTTACTATTTTAAATCCTTAAGCACATAACTTTTGGTCTGCAAATTAGTAAATTCCAAATTTTAAAAGCGCAAGTGAAATAGAATGAATGCATCTTACACCAGAACTGGGCTTAACAAGATCAGCACAGATTTCAAATTACACTTTTGATTTTAACATCGTGAAAGTCAGCCATGTAAAAAAAGCCAGTCAGACAATGTCAACATTACCACAGCAACAGAGGCTGTTACACGTGTGGTCAAATTCACATGACTCCTTTATAAAGGATAGCTAGAAACATGGATGTTATCTTTTTTTCTCTTATTTCAAGTCCACATAGTATAGGATTCAAATTGCTTTATGCCAACAGAATGCTCAGGTAGCTAAGGAAAGAAAAAGGCACCTCATTGGATCAGGCTGCAAATACTGCTTAAATATGCAATCTTCATTCACTGATTCCCAACCATTTTCAGGACTCTACATTTGTGTATGTGTTCTCATTACCTTTTTTTTGTCTTACTGATACTACATTGAAGTAGCTTTAGACAATGATGGGTTATTACACCCAGGCCTCCTAGCAGGCCTGTCAAAAATTTTTTAGCTTTATTTGCACCAGCTCGTGTTCCTAATGGACTACAGAAGACAGCCTACCTATTTTAAGTTACTTCTCATGCAAGTCTTAAACTGCTTGCTTTTTACCTTAGGCTCCTTCTTTTTTTTTTAATAACATTTTACCACATGGTATGTAAGTTTTCCTTCCCATGTGCTGACTAATCATTTCAGTTATTATTTAGAAAAGTGAGATTAAAATACTTGTTTTATGCTACCTTCTATCCAAATCATTATACAGAGATTAGAAGTATACAGAGCGCTAAAAGATGCTGCAGCATCATATGCTATTTATAATTATCTATTATTAAGTATTATTAACCTGACGTTGTTCTTCAAGTTTCCGCTGGATCATTAGCTCTTCTTCCTTCATTTTTCTTAACGTTTCGAGTTCTACCAGGGCCGCCTCCCGTTCTTGTTCCAGCTCAATCCTCTCCAACATTCTCTATTTCAGAGAGAACACAGAATCAATTAAAAAAAATAAAGAGAGATTAAAGAGTGTGAATTACATTGTCGTGAATTTTTTTTGCCCAAGATGGATCCACCTTTTCTTCTTCATCTAAGATTCTTCTGTAATTGTAAATCCAGTGTGCCAGATACTCTATTGGATCTGCCGGCCGACGCTCCGCAACCTCTGCCAGTCCCTTTTTCAAGCAGGTTCCCAGGCATCTCTTCAGATACTGAGACTCCATTCACATCTACTAACAACAGAGTCATTAGCCATCAACGTCAGGATTAAATTAGGGGTTTTAAGAATTATTGCCTCAGGCACCAAATACTGACTATGACATTACTCTTTGTATTAACCTGGCAATTAATAGAAGAAAGTTATTTAAATTTAATATCGGTTTAGCTCTTAAAAGCTCCAGCAATAGATCAGTTATGCCAAGCACTGCAGAAAATATGCTCAACCCCCCCCGCCCCTTACTGTTGAGGCACGTATAATTCAGAAACTGCTTGGAAATATGCTGGTAATTCTAGGTCAGCACGATAGCAAAAACCCTCAAAACCACAACAGGACATAGAAAATTTCTATACAGGTATTTGAAGAACAGCAAAGTAGTTCTGTGAATGATTAAGGATAGGTTTTAGTGTGAACTAACAAAGCTATCTTCAGGATATGCATGCAAGACCAGGGCCTGAAGCAATCGCCCTACACGGTTACGAAAGCAGCAAATCTCTGTGCACACACGAGGTTTTACCGGCCCTGCGGCAGCAAGCAGGTGACGCATCCGAAACCCGATTTCTGCAACACCGAAAGACCCTTCGTTTGCTCTCAAGGGGACCGAATCCGTCTCGCGCAGCCCCGGCCCGGAGGGGGCAGCGGGTCCCTCGCTAGGAACGGCGCCCGTCGAGCGGCAGGTCCCCCCTAAGCCCGCCGCCCAGCCCTGCGCCCCGCCGGCAGCAGAGAGC